ATTAAATTATAAGGATGAGTTGTATCCTTATCAAAATAAAATTCAATAAATTTCTAATTGAAATTAAATTTATATTGCATTTTCGACATTATTATGTAACAGAACTTTAATATTTTAGTCAATATGTCGTAGAATTTTATTTCAATTGTATTACTTTGAAACTCCCAACAAATATAAAGAAATAATATTACATGACATATAAAACTCAAGGGATAGCTGAAATATCAATAATAAAGTAGATTACCATAAAGAAACAAAAAAAAATTATTATATTAAATCAAACTTTTGTATTCTTCTTTTTCTTATTAAATAAAAATTGTTATCATTGTATGAAACCTCAAATAGTAACTCATCTATCGATAAAGTTCAATTTTATATAAGAAATCAAGTTGAAACATCTAAATATAAACCATTGAATTGCAATATTGGGTCTAGTGGGCAGATATAATATTAAGGAATTATATATTATACTAAATTTTTAATTTGGATAATATATAAAATATAATTTATTATGAATAACATAAGATAAAGAAAATGTTACACAACTATAAATTATATCTATAGTCTGTATATTTGTGATAAGTGATCTGTATAATAATCAGATTCTATAGTAAACAAATGGCAGTAGTATTTGCAATAGTGTCTGGCGTCGCAGATTTATTTTTTTTTCTCAAACAACGCAAACATTTTATTTTACCAATCATTCAGTGAACATGAGCTCGACGATTCGGTGCAGAGTAATTTTGCATTCATAAGAATTTTTATGCCAACTAAACTACAATAGATGAATTAAAATGAAAATATATTTTCATTTGTACCTTAGCAGCAAATTGCCGTTGAACGCGCTCATCGTGTGGTCATACAATACGAAACAACAATACATTTCTAATGACAACAAACTAAATCGAATGTGCACAAATAAAATATCACACAGAATCGTTTTTTTTCTCTTTTTAACTAGTGTGTATTATTTATTATTTTAAAGTCTAGGTCACCTATGCCAAAAATAAAACATGGTGTTGTGTTTTGTTGAGTCATTGGAAACGGTTGGTTTCAATTATCGTACAATAATCCATATGATTATGTGTTGTGAAATTTTAGAACTATTGAATATTACTGTAAATATGTAAAAATAAACATTCAGTGCTCATTGCTTATATATCAGTAGGGTATGTACTAAAAATGTATTTAAACATTGATAGAATCAAATATAATAATTCGCAGAGTCTCAAAGGGAGGCGAAAATATGTCCATGTCCCTAAAGTTTTTTATTGAGGATTTGCAAGATTTTGAGATCATACGTATGGCGGCCCAAATGCATTCTAAAAGTATTTACGAGTCAAAATTGTACTTTTTTATTTCAGTATACCGTAAATGTAATATTTTTATCAGTGGTTTGTATACAAATCGTAAGTTTTATAGTAGTTACGATCCTATATTTAAGTATAAATATTAAAACTACCCGATATTAGTTGTTTTATATACCTTCCGATTCTTAAATATAGACAGTGCCAATTCCAAAACAAATTATTTGTTGAATAAACATTTACTGGTCATCTGGAATTAAATTTGTTAACTAAAAATACTTATGGAATAATTTTAAAATATGATTTATTATTTCTAACTTAAGAAATTTCTCCTGAGCGAAATTTATTGACTTGTAAAAATTAATATTATTATTGTTTGACTTACTTGGTAATCTGGCAAACTTCGGAGTCATATGGAACTTAATACATTTTTTGAGAAAAAATATATCAGCTCCAATCAGGCGTACTTTCGTCTTGATTTGCATCAGTTTGTTTAACTCTTTATTATGATCACATACTGATAGTATGTGTTTAGCGTTGATAATGGTAACATTGTTTCCGAAATACGTATCCGCGACTTTTCATTAATTTTTTTGTGGCTTTTGAGTTTAATATTTTTAATATTTTTTAGTTTTTTTAAAAATTAATAATATTTTTAATATAGTTTTAATTTTACTTAATTAATTAGCCACAAGTGATCAATTTTTATTATATAATTATGGCGTTCGGGCCTTTTGATCATAATAAAGAGTTAAACAAACTGATGCAAATCAAGACGAAAGTACGCCTGATTGGAGCTGATATATTTTTTCTCAAAAAATGTATTAAGTTCCATATGACTCCGAAGTTTGCCAGATTACCAAGTAAGTCAAACAATAATAATTTAAAATATGCTGTAATGGAAATATTTTTAGAAACCTGATATATCCTAAAGTTGCCTCTGCTTCTTCTCTTCTTCTTCTTCTTCTTCTTCCTCGCCTTAATCCCAACTACTTGGGGTCGGCCACCCTTATCCTAAATTTCCACTTGACACGATCTCCCACATCTCCCTTAAGTTGCCTCTGCAATACTACTTAATAATTTTTTACTGAAATACTTAGTTTGTAGATTTTAAAGACTTTTTTTTTAAAAATACTTGAATATTTGTCGAAACAGTTCTCACATCCCTCAAAAAACTAAGATTAGAAAGAAAGAACTAAGATTCCTATTAGTTCTTGACAATAATTTTTAGAGTGTCTGTTTAAAATGTCTAATTAATATTATTAATTTAACTGATGACTGATTATATCGAATTAACATCTTAAATTTTAGTAACCTTGATTTATTAATAGATTTGATTAAATCAATGAATAATATTTCATTTTTACTTTAATTTTGTTTAATTTGCAACTAAGTTTCAATAATACTTAATATTCATTATTATAAAATAACTTTCAAAACCAACTATATAATAAAAGGTGCTGTGTTTTTAATATATTTTATTATTGTTTTAATTATACCATAAATATGTTTATTACTTTATACTATATATATATATATGTAAATTCCTTAATATTGTATTAGATAATTAGATTAATTAGCACTTAGTTGGTTTTGTAACGTAGCAATTCTAAAAGTTTTTAAAAATTATGTTAACACTCAAAATTGTGTTATTATAATATATATATATATATATATATATATATATAATAATTATNATATATATATATATATATATATATATAATAATTATTATTATTAGTATATTTCGTATAGATTTAAATAAGTATCCATTATGGGTATTAATTATAATATGATAAAGAAAATTATAGGCATACCAAATCAAATTTATCTCTAATTTTATTTCTTTTTTGAACTTTTCGGTCAAGTTCTATTTAAAAGATTTCGAATAGCCAAATTAAATTATCTTCGAAATATTAGCCGATTATACTGGACACTGATTAGTATACGAATATTCTACTACTTATGCGATTCCAATTTAACTTTAAAGCGATATTTTTTTTTTACATTCCACTTAATTCATACAGACTTTTACACAATTGTTTTCTGAACATCTAAACTATTTAAAATCGCAATTTTTTTAACGATTTTTTAGTTTCATTGACCGTTTTATTTTTTAAACGTGTGGAAAAAAGAAAATGAATGAAAGTTCACCATAAAAAAAAAATGATGAAGTAATTCAACGTGCTACTTCGAGGATAAATCCTGCGCTTTATAAATTATTTTTTAACCTTTGTCTACATAGAGTGTCTAAATACACTAACTATAAAATAAATACCTTAGGGATCTCGTTTTAAACAGACGCATTTGAAATTTGACCGATTGACCTTTATTGGTGCAACAGAGTGTTCCGGTAAGATTGACGTCATCATGGATTCTGCAATGGTTTAAACGGTGACATCACTAAAAAACGATCGATACAGTTACATTAATTTTAAACGAGAACGCTTATAAAATATGAATTTGACTGCCGCCACACGATTTCGTTGTAAATTCATTTCCCGCTCTTTGTTGAGTGCTGTCGTTAAGGTGCCCATCATAATTTTCAATAAATTCGTATGCATATTTTGCACGCAAAAAGAGTTAATTGGTCTTTTTGAGAAATGTTGACAAGATATCATAAATTAATTTTTCTATAGCGTGTTCTCGGGTAGATAATGACTCTCATACATTCTGACTGTGTGTAAAAGTGACGGCTTTTGATTACAGGTGATAAGGTATAATTTGGTTTCAACGTCAATCCAATAACAGAGTCGGTAACCTTAGATCCCGTTAAAATTACAAATCAGTCGTATTAAAAAATAAATAAATGATTAACCATTACGTTATGTCAGCCGCTCATTTACGGACCGCTAATGCGGATAAGTAATTACTTAAACATTCGCAAGACCATTTGCTACGACCGACTAATGGAAACTCGATCGATAATACATAAAACTGACTCGTGTTGTCCAGACATTTTAAGAGATTACTTGAAATAATTTTGGCTTATTAAAAACGTTATTACTACCGTTGGTAAAAATTCTATTCTTTTAAAATTCAAAACGGGTGTTGAAAAAATTACAATGTAATTATCATGTTATACTACGTACTCGTTTTTACTAGACACAATTATTTTTCGCGGACAAATATTAAAAGGTACACTGTCCCCTTACATTTATCATAATGATTTTTTATTGCTATGAACAGTGCAAGGAATAATATCATAAATTGTGCACCTTGGCCTACTTATAAGAAATCACCAAATTTTTATGGGTAACTCTCTGTAATTGGCTCTTATTATTATAATTTATAACACTGATAACCAAAAGAAATGAACAACTCACGTGAGTAAACAAGCCTTTTCCGCTGTTCAAATGTTATATATCACCAAATGTTTTTAGTATTTATTTACTCAATTTACAATTTAAATTTCGTAATTCTAGGATTAAAGAAGCATATCAATCAATTTCTTATTTTTTAGGAAAGTGAAATTAAATTTTTATTTTCCATTTAAGCTAATGAAAAAATTTTACTTCTTTTAAAAAAATATATACCTTTCAATATTCATCAAGGTATGCGATTATCAAATAAAAAAAAATATATATATATTTATTAGTTGAAATAGACTAATAATCGAAAATTTTAGTTTTGGTTGATGCGTTCCTTTACTTCTAGACCATCGTTGTATACTAAATAAAAACAGTTATCGGCTACATTTGAAAAACATTTTGTTTTATTTTTTTACTAAATAAGTACAAAAATCACAAATATGTACACTGAATAATAATTAGTTACATAGATATACATTGCATTAGTTAAAGAATACTTTACAATATTTTATCGCTGCAGGACTGGTTCTTCTCCGTATTCTGCTTCGTATAACATATGCAATATTCTCATGCGTATTTCGGCGTTTTTGCGGGCTGTTAACCTACGCAAAGCTGCAACACAGCTGAGCGCAAAGTGTTCATCCGAGTCCGGAGAATACCATTCGTCCGATCGTTTTCTTTTATCTCCCCCGTGCTCAACCTGTTCCTGTTGTCCTGAATGAGGCCCCTCGATTCCGCCGCCGCCGCCGTTGTAACACGGGCACGCCGTGTTGCCGCCGATAGGTGGCGTCGTCAGCTCAGTTTCGCACATGTCGGACGTTATGGACACCATATCTGCCGGATGGGGTTCCTGACGGCTGTTGTCCATTGTTTCCTCGTATTCATTACCTTCGTAACCAGCCATTTTGTATCTACAAAGCGATCAAAATAACGAATAAATTAAAAAGATTAAAATGAAATTTCATATGGTAAATTTACTCTCTGGGCTCAATGTGCGGTATAAGGAACGCCATCTCGTGATAATATATCCACATTTTCTTTTTTCCTTTCGGTCCGGACGTTCGTTGAAGCCGATGGAACCGCATAAAAGAATCTCGAAGAGTCCTCCATCGTTTCTTCACCTCGGGCTCTAAAAAATGTTTACATTAATCGTAGTATTAATTAGTATTAATCACGGTCGGCCGTGATTTATATTCGCATGTACCAGTTTGTTTCATTATTTCAGCGACTTCACGCCACGCGTCATCTCTAGCCGACATCTTTTTGCACGCCTGTACGCTCCTATCGTATAGTACGGGCCGCCGTTCGATTTCGCTGATCAACTGTTCTTCCATAATGTCCTACAGAGGTGTCACAGCGGCCAAACGACGCGCAGTCCAACCGTGCTGGTTTTTACTACTGCGGTGTAAGTGACAGCGGTAGTCCGCGTCCGCTGCGGTCCGGCTGCGCGTGCACTGCATCGTGCCGCAGCGACGGATCGTTGCGTGCGCGTTGGGGTGATGCGCAGTTACCGACCGCCGCCACCCCTCCGTTGCTACCATGGGTGACCCGTGTGCCGCAGCCGTACCGTCGACGACGCATCATCAGCAATAACGGCGGCAGCGGTCGCTGGCCGCTCGTTCAACGACGGTCGCGGCAGCCGACAAAATCGATGGCAATCGTCCGCCGCCGCCGCCGCCGCCACCCCAGTAGACACCACATGCAACGTCCGCTACTTCCCCGCATTTCGACGTACGGCTTTCGTGTTTATCGATCGGCAGCACTAACCGAAAACTTTCTCTTCAATATTCCATCAATGATTTTCAGTTTGACTTGGACAACTTCAACGTCGGTGTGTATGTGATAAAAATTCGTACATACGACGGTTCAATTAATTAATAAACCCGAAATAAACGTGTTGGCACCGAACCTCCTAATAAGCTGTTAACATACAATATCTTATCTTTATGATGAAAATTGAAATAAATAATATCGTATTACGTTGACAGCCGTTGACCTTAAGTACTAAAAGATAAACCTTTCGGACAAAACATTCATCATAATACACCCGGTGGCCGTACATTTCTATGATTTACTCGAGTGCACACCGGCCATCGAACTTTCGTTTTGCCATTAGACGCGTTCGCTGTAATCGATCACATGTCGTCGTTGTGGAAGTATCATTATAATCGACACGCGGGATACATAATAATTTAGTAAAAACCATTAATTTGAGAGACGAAAGGATAAAAACCTTTGACTCGAGACTAATTGGAAGACCCGTTGAGTACACGCTTAATTTAATTATGTTATAAAGAATTCCTGTTAATGCCATAGCGAATTTCTAAACAAACTGTAGTTCGCGAGAATCTTGTAAGCGAAATCATGTGGTATAACTCGCCCTATGTGGTCTTTTGTAAGGCCGGGAAGAAGTTTTTATGTGATATCTATTTACCCGTCTCCCGTCGATTTGTAGTGACAAAAAATTACGTACAAGCTCTACACCTTGTAGCACTCCGGTTTTGCTTGGCTTATTGTTTTACTTGAAGAGCCAATAGGAGTTTTCAATGGTTGGCAATTAAAGCAGTTGATAAATAAACGATACCTGACGTTCTACTGTATGTGTCAGCCAATTAACTACTTTAAGCACTCGACGAGGAGTGGTAATGCTGAATTGCAAAAATTACCAAACGTTACTACTTTGGTTGCCTAATTGATCAATAATTATCTATGGAAGTGACCAGCTCTATGATAAAGAGTAATAATAACATCAAAAATAAACACAGTTAACGAAATTAACCGTTTTAAGTATTCACAAAAAAAGTATTTCATCATTTAGTGCACGAATTATAGTTATTATACATATGCATGTGTAATACTGCTGTGTACTGTCATGTCGTTGTCGAGAGCCATTTGACGACTACTGTGGCGTAAAAAAGCGTGTCAAAACCTTCTTAAAAGTTGTCCGACAACCGTTCAGTGCAAAATAAATATTGTTTTTAATCCGTAATTGAAATCGACTATAAAAGAAGCAAATCTTTTTTAAGGTGTGCGGCGCGTGAACGTGCGTGCGTACCGATGTGTTTACAACGTTTTATTATTTCTTTATCGACAACCTTGAAATTTGAATCATACGTTTTGAGCATGTGTACATAGATGAATACCGTTATATAACCAAACATTATGGATAAAATGTACAAAGTGGATGACTTTAACAACTTAAGATGAAATCAATGTAAAGATAAAAAGGAATATAATAAAATATTTTTCATCAACACTTGCTGAAAATTGCGGAAATTCGTATCGAATTATGTTTGCGAATATTTCTGAAAAAGTTCACAAATAGCAAGGACGATTTATTATTAAAATGTATGAAAAAACAAAAGAATATCCAGCCCTATCTGGAGGCTGTTGTAAAACCACTACCGGTAGCCGCCAGTCTTATTATCGTTACTCCCAGTGAATAGTGTTTTTTATCTTCTAATAATCATCGCCCCTGAAAAGGAGTACTAAAACTATAGCGTCACCGTGTGTTCGACTTGCAGCTATACTGTTTATTAACATAATAAATGATTCGTTCAATCAAGTGCGACCCACTCAACTAGTTATTACTCGCGAATATGCGCATCCGAATCCGTAACAGTAGTGAATCGCAATCATCATGGCGCCCAGCAGGTCCATCAGGGAAAGTAAGTAAAACCAATATGAATACCCAAGTATTTCTCTAACTTTCAGCGCAATTTATCAATCGCTCATCACGTATGAGCAAATTGTCTTTTTACTTAAAGTTATTTGCATTTAATTAAGCATTGTAACTATGCCTATATAGTTTTACTCATTACTCAAACGAATAGCAAACAAAGGCGTCTCGCGTCTTGACCGTTCATTGAACTAAAATTCCAAGGTTGATATATAGAAATTTGTTTTTAAAATTTTGCAATACCACTTATTACAAATAATATATATTTTGAAATGTGTTATTTTGTCAAATGATTGTTTATGAAAGGTTTATTTTTGAAACACGAAGAAATTTAACTAGGACTTTTCGTGCGGGTATATCAATAGTCTTGGAATATTACCCGAATTTTCGAGTCGTTTAGGACTTATTTAGGCGCTTAATTCTGTACCAAAATCAATATGCTTAAAAATAAAATAATTATATTATTTATTAGCTCGCGTTATTTATTTCTCGAAAGGTTTTCGAACGCGCATTAAACGTGTTTTGCTTATTCTTGAGTGCTTTTGTTTTCCACGTATTACAATAAAACTAACACTCATCGTTGGACTTATATTTATCTATATTGCAGATCTTGCTATTGTATATCAGTAATATTAACAAATTGCTATTATTTTCGCATTGTTTTCCTCGATTTCTCAACCATCGACGTCCTACGATGGTCAGGACTCTACTATTGCGATGTAGTAATACAACTTGTGTGTATTATTTGTGACTTTGTTCGATGTTTACCGTGAACCTTAAAATAAAAAGTTATTAACTCTCTGGTAAACATCATGACAAGTTTTGTTCGCTGGTTATTTCAACGAACGTCGACATTTTATGTATTTAGGTAACCAATCAATTGATTAAGTACATTTAACTGTAAACGATGCAGTCAAATTAATAGCTGATTTATCATGCCTCTACAAAGGTCCAAGTGCTTGTGGAGACCGTTTTTTTAATATAATGACTATGTCGACTACCGTCTCGTCTGTCGTATACGTTTGAGTACACAAAAACTTTTTCCAGTTGTTGGTACTATGACTACTGTGTGTACAATCTAAATTGTTCCTGCGAAAACAAAAGAGAAACTCTCGAGTTCTGTCTGCTTTCCGGATTTTATTATTTTCGAAACTCAGAAAGAAAAAATTGTCCACAGCAATTTTTTAACACTCACTCGGTCGTGCGTTGAAAATCTTCAAGTGGCGACTGAGTATATGCCGGTAAAATCAACGACCGGGTATTGTCCGGGAGGTGTTCCATAGGAATGCGGGAATCGATCCTTACCAAACACAATATAAGAATAAATAATAGTGTTAGAGATACGCGAGTATCAGCTGTATTGTAATGAGAAAAATTAATCATTAGGCGAACGATGACAATAAAAGTGAAGTGTGCAAATGACGTGAGACACATGTGATCAAGTTATAAAGTTCTATGCTCATTATGTAACTCACGGGCGCACGACACTACTCTTTGTTCCCTTTTTTTCTTCATTTTCTATGTCTATTATCCTCGGCGGCCGTCTTTTTTTATTATATTCTATCACACGCACTGACACTAGTCCTTGATGAAAATGTACATAATGTTATTCTGCGCGTACGTGTACAACTACAACAAAGACGGCTGCGGTCGCAAAGCTATTTACGAGGAAAAATGTCACCCTGCAATCGACGCATTAGCAGTAATGAATATGTCGTTTGAATTAATTATGAAAATTGTATAGACGATTTTTCATTGTCATCGAAAACTTATACAGAGCGATTAATAAATAATCACAATAATAATAACGTTTATGAATTTCGGAGCAGAGATGAAAATGCTGAGATGGGTAAATAGAGTGACGAGAGAACAACATTGTTAATATTCATTTAATATATATTAAAAATGCAAGAGGAAGCATAAGAGTAGCGTATATTACAGATAAGATTAGAGAAATTAGACTTAGATGATTTGGTCATGTTATGAGGAGGAGAAATCGAAACCTGTAAGAACGGTTATGGAAATGAACGCTGAAAGAAGAAGAGAAAAAGGAAGATTTAAAAAGAAATGGTTGGATGCAATTGGAGTGATATGGGAACTGTTGGTGTGTATATACATGACGGAGGAGATCGTATTAAGTGAAGTTTAGGATACGAGTGACCGACCTCAAGTTATTGGAATAAAAACGAAGGAGAAATAGAAGAAGATCTATAAAATCTTAACGCCCACGAACTAGGCAAATTCTTTTTTTTTGTACGTCGATCAATTAAAGAGAAACGTTTTCTGTGTATAAAAATCATAACCTCATAAAATATTATCATGTTCGTGAGATGAAGTTTTATAATTTTATCACTAAGCTTGAATGTGTTATCATAATGCATTGTGTAACCATGTGGATCGTTTAGACTGTTCTATAGTTTAAGACCTATCCTTTAAACGTTTTCCATAATATGTGCCTTCGACGGTTCCTCTAAACAGACGCGGGTCGCACGCTCTCTAATTGGTGTTGACTGTTGCGTCTTACTTATGGAAATATTATGCAATATGCCATAGTAACTAAACATGATAAGCGCTATGGTTAAGATAATAGCGATTAGTGTAATAAATCTGTGATAAGAAATCTCATGAAGATTGTATTTAAAATAATTTTTCATTTTTATGAAGTTCTGTGCATTGTTATTATGTTCTGATACAGTCATGTTACTAATGATCACTAAGAATGCACCATTTTTATTGTATACCAATTACTTTTCGTATATTTACTGTTGTTAAGATTGTAAAAATTTTCTTATGCAACCGTTATTGTTTTTAGAATTTAAAAATTTTATTTTTTAATTTTGACTTGTTTAATTATTCTATATAATCTATTTATTCTTAATAACATCGAACGAATGCAATCACTTACACACAAACTTAATATTGCCTCTGTTAATTAATTATGAAGGTTGAATTCATAATTTTATGGAAAAAAAAGGAATACTAAAAT